CTGACTCTGTAAATCACTTAGAGCGGGCTGTAAAGCACTATGAAGTGGTATATAAGTCTGAGTTCTATTGCTATTCAGCCTTAGTTTCACACAAAAAAAAAACAGTAGAAGATGCTAGCAAGGACCATTTTGTGATCTCTGATAAATAAAATCAATTAGACTTGTGAGAATGGAATTTATCAAAGGTACTAGTTGCTCTCAGATCAATTCAATCAATCCAGTCGAACCAAAATGGAGACCTTTGCGTTACATGCTAAGCGGGTTCCCAACTGTGAACCAAGAACTATTGCTATTAGAAATCCATCACTTCCCTTAAAGGGAAAATACAGGTAGTCCTCAACTTACAACAGTCCATTTAGTGACCGTTCCAAGTTCCAGCAGCACCAAAAAAATGTGACTTATGATTGCTTTTCACACCTACGACTACGGCAGCCTGATCACATGATCAAAATTCAGACGCTCGGCAACCGGTTCATATTTATGACAGTTGCATTGTCCTCTGGAAAACTTCTGACAAGTAAAGCCAGATTTACTTAATAACCATGTTACTAATTTAATAGCTGTGGCAATTCACTTAGCAACTGTGGAAAGTCTGGTCGTAAAATGGGGCTTAACAACCACCATCTCGTTTAGCAACAGAAATTTTGGGCTCAACTGTGGTCGTAAGTCAAGGACCACCTGTAGAGCATTTAAAAACCACAAGGGTCCCCTTTACTGTTTCCCTCGCTGAACTAGAGATGAAGGGTGAAGATGAGGTGAGGGGTTTTGTTAATATGGTTTTCACATGATACATGCAGAAAGCACTACTGGGAAAACAATGTGTGAAACATGTTGGAGAGAGGACATTAAAAAAAAAAACCCTTACTTTTGTCTTTCAGCTTCTTTTTACAATTGTCATCTGTGCAGGAAGACCCACGAGACAAATCAACGTCAAACCTCCTGTAGCGCATTTGTTACCAGATTTGTTCACAAATTGTTCTGACCCAGCTCCCTGAATATGACAAACCCTCTGTAGTTAAATCAATGATTCCTTTATTAGGAGCACCAGCAGTTCTGGTAACAAGTCCAGCTGGCCACAAAAGGAATAGTTGTGTTAACTCATAAAACATTTTGTATACACGTTTTAGAATTGACACCAGAAAGAAGGGGGGGGGGAGTTTCAACGAGCAGGAAGCAGTGTGGAATCGAAAGCACATTCCATTCATATTTTCTTTAAAGACTGATTAGATGACTGAAGCTTCTGCCCCGCAAAAATCTAATTGGAGAGCATGATCGATGACTCTTGGCTATGGATGTTTTTCATTGGATGATACACCCAGAGGGGTGGGGAGAAAAGCAGGATAAAGGGTGACAGTGAATTACATTTCTCAGAGTTGACTATGCGCAGGTTAGTGCCAGATGTAGAATATTAACTTCAAATAAACCCTCTTTAGTTTTGGGAGCGTGGCTCGAGGCTCACAATTTAATTGGAGTAACTGCCGGAATTCTGACAAGGTGTCTGCCACATCTATTCATCTCTGCCACCTGTCTTTTATCCCCAGAGCTCTGGTGGGGCTTTGCTACCAGCAGTGGCTCTTCCATCCTGAGGACCAGCCCATAGATTTCCGCTGCTCTCCTCTCCTCTGCCTTCTGCGCATCAGGCACATCAGGCACTGGACCCAGCTGTTCCTCCTCTTCCTCTCCACCTCCAGACCTGGGGGCTGTTGACACTCCATTTGAGGGCTGATAGATGGCCCAGGCTCTGCCTGCACCCCTCTCTCTGTCAGCTCCATTCCCTCTTCCCCCTCGGAGCTCCCAGGTTGCTTTGATGCTGACCCTGACCCCCACACCTCCTCCTCCTCTGATTCGGCTGGTGGTGGCCGACAAGCCACAACATTCATGTAAAAATCTAGAACCGCAAAAGCAGTTCACGTAGCATGCCTACTGCAAATCTCCTACCCCCAACCACCTTGTGAAATTGGGTCAAGAGGGAGTAACTGGTAAAATCACTCCCTAAATTTTCACAGTTGAGATTGACCTGATTTTTAAAATCATCCGCATCTTAATGTCTTCACTTTTAAAGCACAATGCAAAAATTTTATTCGTGGCTCACAGGATGCCACCGATAACAATCTGCATCATGACGTTGGGGTAACCCATCAAATGTAAAACCTTTGCAATAATATAGATGCATTTATTATTTCAAAGGTTTAATTATGTAGAGTTATTTAGTTATTTTAAAATTTAGCTATTAAATTTAGCTAATTGAATCATTTTAAATTAACAAACTAATACAACTCATATGGTTTGTTGGTTAAAAGGTTTGAAAAAGCACCAAACACACCCTCCTTGTTCCCAGATGGATAAAATGCAGCATTGATTGCAATTTGGTAAGCTGTCCAGAATCAAAAATTGACTTGAATGGCCTCTAAACTGAATAAATCAGCTAATTATTACACTCGGAGCTCACACATCTTCAGAAAGTAAAACCAGTTTATAATGCCATAAATCAAAAATTTGTGGCTTCTTACTTTAGTTAAAAAGTTCGTTTAGCTTTTATTAAAGGTGTACATTTAGCTGTTCCTTGTTCTGAAATCTTCAACACTGTTTCATATTTGCTGATGTTAATTTCAAAGGGTAAATGCTTAGTTTTTGAGGTCCGTGTTTTAAAAGAAAATTGTTCAGCCTAATTTTAAGAATGTCCAAAGTAAATTTTCTACTCCTAGTGACTTACAGGTAGGGTGTAGGGGGAGAGGCAAATACAATTGACTTGTTCCTGGTGTCAGGATTCCTGCAGTTGCTCTAATTAAATCACAAGCATCAAGCCAAGTTTCAAAAGGATTCCTGCAGTTGCTCTAATTAAATCACAAGCATCAAGCCAAGTTTCAAAAACTTCGAAGGATTTATTAGGAGCAAACATGTTGGCATGACTTGTATGAAGCCAATTCTGAGACACGTAATTCACTGTCAGCCTTGACCCTGGTTCCCCACCACCCTTCTGGGTGTATCATAATTCATATTCTCCAACGAAACATGTTCATAGCCAAGAGTCATCAATCACGTTCTCCAATCATGTTCATAGCCAAGAGTCACCAATCACATTCTCCAATGAGAGATTTGAGGGGCAGAAATTCCGGTAGCATAGTTATAATTTTTGCAAGATGTGAATGGAACACACTTTCAGTTCCAAACTGCTGCACTGCTCTTTCAAATTTCTCTCCACCTTCTCCCTTCTGTTCATGGCAACTCTAAAACAGGCATAGAAATGTTTTATGAGTTGCCATTTGGCTTGTTAAAAAATAATAAGCAACCATCTAGCCCAGGATTTCTCAACCTTAGAAACTTTAAGATCTGTGGCTTTCAGCTTGAACTGTATGGACTTCAACTCCTAGAATCCCTCACAAAAAAAGGTATTTACAATTTCCACCTCACCTTTGTCATTGATGTCAATGTCTTCTTTGACTTGAAGGACCAGTTTCTCATGCAATCGTTTTATCTCCGATTCCTTCTGTTCTAATTTCTCTTTTAAAGACAATAGTTCTTCCTGAGCAGACAGGGGGGAAAATATATACATATATTATTTTGTTTTTCACTTCTAAAAAGGGACAGGTTTAAACCAACGTTGGCTGTTTAAAGTAGAGATGGCGTTCATTTATTTTGAAATAATGGCATTTCAAAGGTGTCAATTATATCACGGGCAGTCCTCAACTTACCACGATAATTGGGACCACCAGACTTTCTATGGATATATAAAGTGGTTGTTAAGTGAGCCACAACTGATTTTATGAACATTTTGCAACCGTCATAAATATGAATCCATTGCCAAGCATCTGAATTTGGATCATGCAGTCACGGGGATGCTGAAATGATTGTCAGCTTGATGATCTGTTATAAGTCACTTCAAATGGCCATTAAGCAAATAGTTGTAAGTTGAACCTTACCCGTGCAAATATAAAAATAACCTGTCTTCCAGCCAAAAACATAATCCATCTCTGATTTAAACATTCAGTATCCTGGGTTGAACTGAAACGTGATCCTTAAAGGATCTTTGTTACCATTTGCTCATGCATGACACGTTTTCACCAACAATTACATGTACAATATCGACAAGCACAATTCTACCCTCGCTGCTTTCAGTGGAAGTGAGTCCAGACTGAAAGTTCTTACAATGATATCTTTCACAAACAAAAAATGATTCAAGCAGGCTTTGATGCTTAAAATGATTTTTAAAAAACAGTGTATGTGTAGGAATGTAACTGTGTACTCTGTACATTTGCGCATAAGAAAAAAAATGCAAACATGGATAAATGGATAATCTATGATAGAAGATGTTTTGCTTCTCCTCCAAGAAGCTTCTTTGGTTCTTTGGAGAAGAAGTCAATTGGGATCCTCCCTTTCTATAAAATCAAAATACTAGAAGGATCTAATAATCCAATGTAACTTTTAAAAAAATGTGGATAGGCCAAAAACCAAGGAATATTCTCTGCAATAAAGGTACGCTTGTCAGCCAAGATATAAGAGGTTAATACAGCTGCCCCAACAAATGGAATATTGGTTTACAATAAGGAAAGCTGAGGTGGTGTTTCTTTTTTAAAAGCTCAGCTTAACGCATTTCAAGAAAGAAACCGGCAACTGATGGTTTTGTGTATTAGGCTAAATCAAAATAAAATAAAATAGAAACGCACACAGATACTTTTGGTTTAGTTGGAGACATACATCGGGGGGGTGGGGGTTATGTAAGAACAGGAGGAGAAAAAAAATCCATACATGCACCACACCAAAAAGGAAAAAAGGTTTTAAAATGAAGACGAACAAGATGGTAAAGAGCCACGGAAATCCACCAATCTACCAGACCTTCAACATTTGACATTTTTGCTCCATCCGTTGCTTTTCATACTGCATCTGGCTCACTTTGATTTTCATGCTAGAAAGTTTGGCCATTAAAGACTGGCAAGAGGGACAGAGGATGGAAAGAGAAGTAAAGATGTAGGAAGAGAAAAGGCTAAATAATAAGAATAATAAACAGCCCTATTACGTTCAACGTGAGAGGGATGGTGACCTTCAGTGAAAGATAGGCCTATCAAAGGACACCAAACCTTTGAAGCAGAAGACTTTATATTAGCCATTATGAAGGACAGATCTAACGTAAACTGCACAATGTGGCGGATCAAATGTTTGCTGTGCTCTGGATTTGATCTTCAAATCTTGTGCTTTGAACCATGTGAGAAGGTGAATTTTGCTCCTCGTCTTCAACTTCTGAAAGCAGCCGTGTCTTTTTCTCTACGACCCAATCCCAATCTTCTCTTATCTATCTATATTTATTATTTCAGCATAACTCTGGAACACCTTGGGCAATTTCAACCAAACTTGGTACACAGATTACTACTTATTCTCTGGAAACAAATATTGTGGGGGTAAGATACCCCTAACACCTCTCAGGGTGTGTGTTCTGTTAAGATACACCCTGTTGTGCCTTCAAGTGGCTTCTACCGTACTGCCTTAAAATGGCTTCTATTGTACAGTGCTGTGGAGTTGCCATAGTATCGGGTTCACAGTATTCCACAAGGGGTCTCTCTTTGGTAATGGGGGAAATCCAACATTAGAAATTACGTTTCTTCCAAGTCACTGAAATCAGGGCTTTTCCTGTCTAATACAGGATTAGGATAAATAGATACCCAGGCAATGCCGGGTTATCGGCTAGTGGTTGATAAAGGAGAAAATTTGTAGCTCAGGATTGAAATGAGAGGTCCTTGGTGCTCTCTCAGCTTGTTTGTTTTCTTGGAAATGTTTCATTACTCTAAGTAACATCATCAGTGCTAGTCAAGCAATGATGATGTTACCTAGTTAGAGTAATGAAATATTTGCAAGAAAACAAGCCGAGAGAGCACCAAGGACCCCTCATAATGATTGATGATTGTCACTCGACCAGGAAGGACATCACAGAACAAAAACAGATGATTTTCAGTTCACAGTGTTTATGAACTGTGGGTCTGTGACCTTAACAAACTTATACCTCTCCAAAAATTTAAGGACACAGAATTTCAGGCAGAAGTCAATAACCTATAAAGGAGAATGTTTGTAGTTCAGAGTTGAAATGACTAGCACTGATAATGTTACCTAGTTGGGTAATGAAACATCTGCAAAAAACAACCAAGCTCAGAGAACATATAGTCTTCTTCTGTTTTTTCCTCCTCCTCCTCTCCACAAACCCCACTCCCTTCTAGCACTGATCATGTTAGTTGGGTAATGAAACTTCTGCAAGAAAACCACCAAGCTCAGAGAGCACCAAGACCCTTCAGTAAATAATCTATCGTACAGAAATAGGACTTGGTGACAAAGAACTTTTTTTGAAAATGGCCAATGATCATGCTTCAGAGATCTGCCGACTTATGGAAGAGATTCTTTGGGGTAAGTCATAATATTCTGCTTTTGGTATTATTATGAGGAAGATACTTCTAAAATTCCATTTGAGAGATGTGTTTGCCTATTAAATCTGGAGGTGTTCAAACAGCCAACACATAGAACTTTACTACAGCTTCTACAGAGATGTTTGTAATTCCCATAATTTTCTCCTCTTATATCAACACCTAGAGCAACCTGATGATACTTGTAGCTTTTTGCAAACTGTAAATTGATTAGATTATGGCCCAATATTGAGTACCAGCTGTAAAAAGTAACCATTGATTAATAAAGTTCTCCCACATTTATATCAACTATCACGATTATTTATATTACTCTATTTTTAATTATTTTAACACTGATTTCGGTTATACCTTCAAGCTTTGGCTTTGGGCTGTAAGAAAAGATTGGGAAGTCGCAAGCTTGGGAAATGATGTGGCTGCTTTCAGAATCTGTAGACCAGAAGTGGGGAATGACTTGTGGACTTCAACTCCCAGAATTCCTGAGCCAGCCGTGTTGAAGACCATAAGTCATAAAGGAGCCATTGTTCTCCACCTTTGCTGTAGACAAGATTCTACATTTGGGTTCCTACACACACAAAGCACAACTCTGGTGTCAAATCAAAGTGATTCTCAACCCCATTGTTGGTCTTCTTAAACAGTTGAGACTTTCAAGAAGATATTGGACTGCCATTTGTCAGAAATGGTGTAGGGTCTCCCGCTTGGGTAGGGGGTTGGACTAGATGAACTACAAGGTCCCTTCCAACTCTGATTATCTGTTATCTGTTAGTTCTAGAAACTCACTTTTCATATCATTTTCCAATGTGGTCTTCCAATTAGCATGAAATTATGTACCCAAAGATCTAACTTTCTCTTTCCAAAGAAGGTATCTAGCCACCATCTCCTTTTTCTACATCAGCAAGATAAGTAGGCATTTTAAAATAAACCCCATGCTAATTTCTTAACAAATGTGATATCTTGCACTTTCCTTCTGTGAATTACACTCTTAAGGGCTAGCATATATAACTATAGAAAGAGAAAGCTGCATTTCTGGCTAGAAGTCTAGCTTGCTTTCGACAATTCCTCAATTTTCCTTCTCTGATGTGAAGAAGGAAACATTTAAATGTCAGCCATTCCCAAAGCCAGTCTCATAGAAACGGCTTCTAACCATCATCTGGCCACACCACCTGAAATCCAGGTTTAAGCCAATCATGTTCTGGCTGCCACATCAATGAATCAACCTTATGTTAAAAAAGAGAGAGAGCCTTGAAGATAGATACATATGTCATGAGATAAAGATGGCCAAAGATGCATTTCTTTATCTGTAACATGGACTTACTTTGGTAGACTTAAGTTTTTTCTCATATTGTAGTCTTTCCCTGTCCATTTCTCCTACTTTTAAGCGCAAATCATTAACTTCCTGCATTAAATCCTGTTTCAAAATAAAAGAAGTGAACAAAAAGATTTGAAAGTCAAGAAAACGAGGAGAAAAATTCACTGGAGACACCTGAGCTACCTACCTTCTTCTGTCTTCACAGAGGCAGTCTCAAAATGGCTGCATTGAAGGCTGACTCTGCCCACTGCCAGGAGTTCGATCCTGACCAGCTCAAGGTTAACTCAGCCTTCCTTCCTTCCTCCCTTCCTTCCTTTGCTTCACTCATTCCTTCCCCCCCCTTCCTTCCTTCCATTTCATTCACTCACTCCTTCTCTCTCCTTCCTTCCTTCCTTCCTTCCTTCCTTCCTTCCTTCCTTCCTTCCTTCCTTCCTTCCTTCCTTCCTTCCTTCCTTCCTTCCTCCCTCCCTCCCTCCCTCCCTCCCTCCCTCCCTCCCTTCCTTCCTTGGTGGTGTAGTGGTTAGAATGTAGCACTGCAGACAAATTCTATCCACTGCCAAGAGTTTGATCCTGACCAACTCAAGTTTGACTCAGCCTTCCATCCTTCCAAGGTTGGTAAAACGAGGATCCAGATTATTGGGGGCAAGAGGCTGACATGTGTCAGCCACTCAGAAAGTGCTATATAAGTCTAAGTGTTACTGCTATTGCTATCTTACCTTCAACATGGACGTTGAAGGAGAAACATCATGTTAGCAAAATAGTGAAGATAATTGACCATAGCATTTCCCTCCAAAATATTTTTTTTCAACTTCTTTGACTCACGTCTGCATCTCTGAATCTGTCTTCGTAATCCATCCTGTCCTTTTCCACTGCGGTCAGCTTGAGCTTCAGGTTGGAGACCTCGGCTATGAGATCCAACTTCTGAGTTTCTAGAGATGTTCTGCTTAGGAGCTCCTGGTTAAAAAAAATGAGAAGAGAATGAATGCATTAAAGGAAGGGGAGAGAAAGTTGGGGCATCTTTGGAAGTTGTATCAAATGTAGAGGAGGAGGAGGAGGAGGAGGAGGAGGAGGAGGAGGAGGAGGAGGAGCCCTCTGTGGATAAGCAGGCAAGCAATGTGTCAAAAACAGAGGAGATTCAACCCAACAAAACCCTTTAGTCACACAGGCAGAGAAATAGGTGGTACCTGCTGTAGCATTTCTTCCGTTGAATTCAGCTTCTCTCTGTTTTCCTCCAGGCACAACTCCAGATCTCTGATCTTCTCTCCCTGAGCATCCACTTGGTCAGTGAGGACGCTCACCTGTGTTGAAAGAAAGAAAGAAAGAAAGAAAGAAAGAAAGAAAGAAAGAAAGAA